GGCCCACAGAAGCGGTAGCCCAGAGGAGTCTGCCTCCCGCCCCCCCCCCAGAGCAAGCATGCCAGATCGGTATTACATGCAACTCCCCTCCCCTCCCTAATGAAATCCACCCACATCTGGCGCGGGAGTCAATACCGCTTTTCTTACTCTCATTACAGCGGCCTCCGAAACTGAGCCCCATTTGTGGCAGCACAGAATAGGAAGCAGGAAATGAATTGTGACTGGTTGAGTCACACGTCCGTACTTAAGCAGATGGGCAGCCTGGCATGTATCTACATGCAACTCCCCTCCCCTCCCTAATGAAATCCACCCACATCTGGCGCGGGAGTCAATACCGCTTTTCTTACTCTCATTACAGCGGCCTCCGAAACTGAGCCCCATTTGTGGCAGCACAGAATAGGAAGCAGGAAATGAATTGTGACTGGTTGAGTCACACGTCCGTACTTAAGCAGATGGGCAGCCTGGCATGTATCAGCTGATTCTTATCAGCATTCACGGGACACTATCTGTTCTTGCCACAAGTTAAAAGATCTCAAAATTGGCATGAAAATGATCTAACACAGCATGGCTCCTGACTCCTTCCCTGCTGCCGAATGCAACTGTGTAAAACCCAGCCACACGCAGAGACACTTTGGACCTGACCCTCCGCTGCCCAGCGCCTCCTCTTAGTTCCTCCCTGCAAGAGCGAGCCTGCAGAGGACGACCTGGGTGGTGGTGAAAGAGGCCCGCCCATGTCAATGTCCATGCAGCATTTGGGCGCTATACTGCAGCAGCAACCCACCCGGGCTCCCGACAGTCCAGGTTCAGTTCATACACACGGGCATTACACAGAGCTGTACAAACTCGGCTTGTGAAAGCAGCCAGATCGGCCGGTCTGGCGGCTGATGTCCTCTGTTTAGCAACTGAGCAGGTGGAGCATGGGAAGCCTTTCCCCCGGCCACCTTAGGCATGTGCCACAAAGCTCTCCCAGTGGGGAAAGAGGATGTCAGTTTGCTTTCCCACCCCTGAAGTCTCCATTGACACCTCAGCCACAATCATGGACACCGTGTCCACCCCTGGAGTCAACTGTGGACGTGGCAGACCTTGACATTAGCAGAGCTTTTGCCAAGATCTCCCAAATATTCTTGCCAGCAAGCTAAGGAAGTATGGATTGGAGAAATGGATGGTAAGATGGATAGGAAGCTGGCTAGACTGTCAGGCCCAATGGGTGATCAACGGTTCAATGTCAGGTTGGCGGTCGGTTTCTAGCAGAGTGCCTCAACGATCAGTTCTAGGGCCGGTTTTGTTCAACGCCTTTATTAATAACCTGGAGGAGGGGTTGGATTGCATCCTCAGCAAGTCTGCAGATGACACTAAGCTAGGAGGAGAGGTAGATACGCTGGAGGACAGGGATAGGGTCCAGAGTGACCTAGACAGATTAGAGGATTGGGCTAAAAGAAATCTGACTAGGTTCAACAAGGACAAGGGTAGAGACCTGCACTTTGGACAGAAGAGTCCCAAGCGTTGTTACAGGCGGGGGACCGACTGGCTAAGCAGCAGTTCTGCAGAAAAGGACCTGGGGATCGCAGTGGATGAGAACTTGGGCCCCCTTTTGACTCCTGTCCTTGTAGCCACGCAGGCTAATGGCATATTAGGGAGCATTAGGAGGAGCACTGCCAGCAGATCCAGAGAAGCCCTTTATTTGGCACAGGTGAGTCCACATCTGGAGTACTGTGTCCAGTTCTGGGCCCTCCACTACAGAAAGGATGTGGATTCATTGGAGAGGGTCCAGCGCAGGGCAACCAAAAAGATGAGAAGGCTGGAGCACATGACCTATGAGGAGAGGCTGAGGGATTTGGGTTTGCTTAGTCTGCAACAGAGAAGAGTGAGGGGGGATTTGATAACAGCCTTCAGCTCCCTGAAGGGAGGTTCCAAAGAGGCTGGAGAGAGGCTGTTCTCAGTGGGGGCAGGTGGCAGAACGAGGAGCAATGGGCTCAAGTCGCAGTGGGGGAGGTCTAGGTTGGCTATTAGGAAAAACTTTTTCCCTAGGAGGGTGGGGAAGCGCTGGGCTGGGTTCCCTAGGGAGGAGGTGGAAGCTCCATCCCTAGAGGTGTGTAAGTCCTGGCTGGACACAGCCCTGGCTGGGTGATTGAGTCGGGGTCGGTCCTGCTCTG